TTTGGAAGCATGAGCTTCCTACCCAATGGAGTTGTATAAGCAGAAGTTGAGGATGCAGAGAGTGGCACTGAATTCCAAAAGTGGGGTTTATACTGCCTGTGTTCTTGGAAGATATATTTGTAGTGTGTGTCACAAACTCACTGTGACTTCTAATTTGGCTGTAGTGGTGGTCTAAGTGAGATAACTCCCAGATATTTCTAAAAGAACCAGTGAGGGCCCTGCCTTTTTCAGGGATGAAAGAAGTGAGAATGTGGCTCTTGACCACACAGGATCAGGGTGTCTGCAGTAAATTTTGCAAAGAGAAGACATAATCCACATACAGCCTCAAGTTACACTGTATGAAATTTAAGTAATAAAAGGCTGTGGCTGTTTCTCCTTCTCCATGTACATGGACAAAGCAGGAGGTCCAGTCTAATCCAGGGAAGGCACCATTCCAGCTCAGACAAAGACCAGTATCCTGAAAAGCAAAGGCATGCAGGCTGGGTGTGGAAAAAAGCACGGGAATGTTTAGTAACTCCCTTCTGGATAAGCAGCATGATCTTTTATTTTGTTCATGTTGAGAACTGGTTGTGGCTGGAAACAATGTCAGGTATTTGAATGTAATGTCTTCTTGTCATTAAAACCGAGCCAAACATTGACATCATAATTTGGGAAGCATCTGCCCATGGTAGCTGGTTATCCTTTTAAGTGCAGGGATGAGGAAGCAGTAATATCAGTCCAGTCTTATGCTTAACATATAAATATTTCAAAAGTGTTTTGCAGCCATTGCAAATGGCTGCAGGAATGAAGATTCCCAGATGCAGACACTTCAGATGTTCTCTTCTCACACAAATGTTTAGCTTATGCCTCTGATGAAGAAGTGGATTGTGCTGGTGAGGATGTGCAGAGTGAACTGTGGCCACCCTAAGGAAAACCATAATGGAAAAACACTTGCATACAATCTTTGAAAGCATTGAAAGAAAAAGCCCCCTTGCTGAGGGAGCTGTTCTGTGCATGGAGACCACCTTTGCACTAGCTGTCTGTGGGGCTTGTCAGTGACTCTGTCTGTCTGTGGGGCTTGTGTCCTCTGAAGGAGAAGATGGAGAAGTGCTACTGGCCCAAGCTGCACACCTCACCACCTCTTCTGGAAAATAGAAGGTGCAGGGAAAGCACCTTATCTTCCTAAAATTTGTTTCAAAGCAGGGCTGTATGAGTAGAGACTCAGTGGGGCGGTATCAGGGCATCAGTCCATGAGACATTAGTGTCACTTCTCCTGCACTTTTCCCCTTCCTACCCAGCTGTGAGGATTGTTGCCAAGTGACACTGGCCTTGGTGACATTTGGAAATACCAGAATGCCCTATCTGCTTCCTTATTTCACATGGCTCTTTCCCCACCCCATCCCAGACTTCCTTGGGAAGTGAAAGCAGCAAGAGAAGCAGGTTCATTCCCAGAAGCAGCTTCTCACTTGGAACAGTCAGAGAATGAGGGATGAAAACCCAAGAAAGAGAGAATTCATGTGTAGGGCAGGCTTGGTAGGTACCAAGGTGGGACACTGGGAGAGTGTCTTTCTGGATTTGGGAACCTGATCTGCCCGGGCAGGAACAGGCTCAATGCCCTAATTAGGTCCCTTTGCCTGCTTTTCAGTTTTGGTTTATTTTTTCAATTGTTTCTTCACACTTCCAGGAAATTATGGTGTTTTCCAAGTAATTACATTCCAGCCTGTGAAATATGGGAAGCAAGTGCTGGTGCTGGTTTACAGATGTAAATGTTTTTTTTCCCCCAGGTAATGCCAAGGAGCTTGCCAACATCCTCAAGTTCCACGTGGCTGACGAGATCCTGGTGAGCGGCGCGGTCACTGCCCTGGTGAGGCTGAAATCCATGCAGGGGGACAAACTGGAAGTCAGCATGGTGAGTCACCTCAGATGGGCTTCTGGGGTCAGCAGGGCTGCCCAGTGTTGGGCTGTCCATGTCATGGACCAAGGCATGTCTGTGCTCCTTTGGGTGGTGTGGGATCCATGGTCCCACCTGTGTTTTCTGGGCTCTACTGGAGGGACTGTTGCCATTGCTCAATTCCACAAGCTGGAAGAATGAAATGTGGTTTGCCTCAGCTTTCTCCCCAGAAGACCAGTTGTGAATGATTTCCAGGAGCTGCTATAAATTTAACCCCGAGTCATGGGGGGGAAAACATAAATAAATGAAATGAATAGGTTGTTCAGCTAACATATCGTTTTGTGTAATGAAAATGATCTCTGCATGAGCTCCCTTAGCACAGCAGAGTTTATTTAGATATATAATTTCATTTCAAAAACTCTACACTACATAAGGGAATGCAGAATCCTCTACTGAGGAAAAAAAATACTTCAGAAAATAAGCAATCTATGCACTCTATGCATAAGAAAACAGGACAAAAATGGAAGGGACTGTTTCTAGGTGCACTGAATTGGCCAATGTGCACTCTGGACTCTTCCTGTGTCCAGTCCTGCTCTGCCCTCTCCTGATCCCATCTCCACAGCCATCCTGCTGGTGGATGTGCTGTGCTGCCATGGCACAGCATTCCCAGCCAGCTGCACTGAGGAAGTCCAAAGCCTCCCAGCCATTCCAGGACAAACTGCTCAGGCTATAATTTGTCTTTATAGTCTCCTTAATTGGCAAGAGGAATTCCTTCAACCATCCAGTAAACAAATGAATGCAAAGTGAAGGGTTTTTCTAGTAACATTGAATGACAGAAGATTCTCATTTTCTATTTTTTAATTTTTTCTTTCACTGAACAGAAGAACAACGTAATACACATCAACAAGGAGCCTGTTGCTGAAAGCGATATCATGGCCACAAATGGTGTCGTTTATGCTGTGAATTCTGTCTTACAGCCACAGGGTAGGTCCACGGTGAGAAATGTCCAGAGCACCTTGTTGCAGCCAAACTGCTTTGGGAGGGACTGGGGACACAGGGGAATTGCTTCAGTTTGGTGAGGAGAGATTAGTCTGTAGTGGGATTTTCAGCAGAAAATAGTGGAAGGAAGCAGCCTGCATGCTCTGACAAGTATTTCAATGCTCTCAATGTCCCACCCTTAGCTTCAAGGCCACAAGAAAGAGGTGATGAGCCTGCAGATCCCGCATTAGAAATCTTCAAACAGGCATCTGCATTATCCAAGGTAAAAACCTCACACTGCAGAACTGCTGAAATTGCATTTTGGTAATAATTATTGGAAGATCATGTCACATTCATATGGCTGGCTACCTAGGAAAGTGAGTGCATGTGTTTCAAGGAATGATCCATCCTCTGGTCTTGCATGATTTAATAATATAAGAAATAATAATACATTTTGCAACACAAAGCTTCAGTTTGCAGCACACTGTGAAAGTAACCTTGGCATGCTACTATTATATATCAGCTTCCAGTAATGAAGAGTCATCCATCCATAGCTTTTGGAGACTAAGGATAACTACATTGACATACAAACTGTTCTTATGGCTGTTGGAGTGTTGCATTTATGCAAACCTGTGCTTTCTTCCCATGCAGGTTTCTCAGAGGAATCCTCGACTAGGTAAAACAACTTCTCTAATTTCCATTATGTCCCCCTATCCCTTAAAGAGGTTTCTCCCTGTTCTCTTGCTCTAAGCAAGATGTAGCATGACTGGGAGGAGAGGGGCAGGGGGTGCTTTGTGTGTGCCCACCCAACTTTGCTCTTCTCCCTGGCAGCCCCCGTGTACTCCCGGATACTGGCGAGGATGAAGGAGAACTCGGGGGGATTCTGAGCCCATCATGAGCAGCCACAAGTCAGTGCCTCCATCCCATCCACTCCAGCTGACAGCTGAAGAGAAGGACAGAACCTTTTCAAAAACCAAATGCCACCCTTAAATTTATTTTTCTTTGCAATGAAACGGATAGAAGAAATGAAAAGCCATATATATGTATATATTTTAAGACCATTTTTATTTGGTTTTGACTTCCCAGACCAATGAAATATTTTGAGGTTTTTTTGTTTGTTTTGTTTAATTTTTGTTTTGTTTCTTTTTTAAATAAAATTATTCTCCAACTTTCAATGTTTTGGGCTTGATAGGTACATCCAAGGGCCTTTTATTTTTTAAACAAGCATGTCCTTCCTTCTTCCCTTGGATTTTAAAAGTCTTCCATGAAATTCTGATCTGCAGGCTTTTAACAAAATTCTCTCCATTGACATTGAGAAAATTGCAGTTATAAGCTATGGTTTGAAGTATTAATTTTTTTTTTTACTGGGGTCTTTTTTTTGTGCCTATGGGTTATAACTGTGCTGCATTTTGTTTATGAGATTTGAAATGAGAGTTCTCCCTGGCTGAAGCCTTCCAGTAAATGATTAATTTTTAATAATGGTTGTTTTTTAATAAAAATTAAAAATAAAATCAAAAATATAAATATGAAAAGTGATGACAGTGCTTGGTTGGGTTTTTGCTTGGTTTGAATTGCCTGAGGGCACCAGGTGATCAAACCTGAGCACTGGGAATGAGGGGAATCAGATTTGGCTGGATCAACATTGATAGGCCTAATAGTTACTTGAGTGGAAGGGAAGAGCATTTCTCCTCTCTGATCCTGGCCTGGCATCATTTTTTGCTGTTGCTCTCATGAGCAGCCACTGTCACTCTCTAAGGAGCACAGGGCAGCCATGCACATCCTTCCAGCCACCTTTGCTGGCAGCTGGAGCTCAGTGCCACATTCTGTGCTGCCAACAGCATTTACTCCCCATCGGGGCTTTAGATTTGCTCCCTGGTAGTTATTACCTTGGTGAAACCCAGGAGTAGGAGGCAAAAAAGAGAAAGAGGGTGTCAAGTACAGAACACAAAAGACTCAGGTTGTTTTGCTTGCTCTGGCACAGAAATACCCTGATAATTCTCCTTCTATTAAAAGCCCAAACTGAAATCCCACATGCTCACCCAAGAAAGAGAGAATTCATGTGTAGGGCAGGCTTGGTAGGTACCAAGGTGGGACACTGGGAGAGTGTCTTTCTGGATTTGGGAACCTGATCTGCCCGGGCAGGAACAGGCTCAATGCCCTAATTAGGTCCCTTTGCCTGCTTTTCAGTTTTGGTTTATTTTTTCAATTGTTTCTTCACACTTCCAGGAAATTATGGTGTTTTCCAAGTAATTACATTCCAGCCTGTGAAATATGGGAAGCAAGTGCTGGTGCTGGTTTACAGATGTAAATGTTTTTTTCCCCCAGGTAATGCCAAGGAGCTTGCCAACATCCTCAAGTTCCACGTGGCTGACGAGATCCTGGTGAGCGGCGCGGTCACTGCCCTGGTGAGGCTGAAATCCATGCAGGGGGACAAACTGGAAGTCAGCATGGTGAGTCACCTCAGATGGGCTTCTGGGGTCAGCAGGGCTGCCCAGTGTTGGGTTGTCCATGTCATGGACCAAGGCATGTCTGTGCTCCTTTGGGTGGTGTGGGATCCATGGTCCCACCTGTGTTTTCTGGGCTCTACTGGAGGGACTGTTGCCATTGCTCAATTCCACAAGCTGGAAGAATGAAATGTGGTTTGCCTCAGCTTTCTCCCCAGAAGACCAGTTGTGAATGATTTCCAGGAGCTGCTATAAATTTAACCCTGAGTCATGGGGGGGAAAACATAAATAAATGAAATGAATAGGTTGTTCAGCTAACATATCGTTTTGTGTAATGAAAATGATCTCTGCATGAGCTCCCTTAGCACAGCAGAGTTTATTTAGATATATAATTTCATTTCAAAAACTCTACACTACATAAGGGAATGCAGAATCCTCTACTGAGGAAAAAAAATACTTCAGAAAATAAGCAATCTATGCACTCTATGCATAAGAAAACAGGACAAAAATGGAAGGGACTGTTTCTAGGTGCACTGAATTGGCCAATGTGCACTCTGGACTCTTCCTGTGTCCAGTCCTGCTCTGCCCTCTCCTGATCCCATCTCCACAGCCATCCTGCTGGTGGATGTGCTGTGCTGCCATGGCACAGCATTCCCAGCCAGCTGCACTGAGGAAGTCCAAAGCCTCCCAGCCATTCCAGGACAAACTGCTCAGGCTATAATTTGTCTTTATAGTCTCCTTAATTGGCAAGAGGAATTCCTTCAACCATCCAGTAAACGAATGAATGCAAAGTGAAGGGTTTTTCTAGTAACATTGAATGACAGAAGATTCTCATTTTCTATTTTTTAATTTTTTCTTTCACTGAACAGAAGAACAACGTAATACACATCAACAAGGAGCCTGTTGCTGAAAGCGATATCATGGCCACAAATGGTGTCGTTTATGCTGTGAATTCTGTCTTACAGCCACAGGGTAGGTCCACGGTGAGAAATGTCCAGAGCACCTTGTTGCAGCCAAACTGCTTTGGGAGGGACTGGGGACACAGGGGAATTGCTTCAGTTTGGTGAGGAGAGATTAGTCTGTAGTGGGATTTTCAGCAGAAAATAGTGGAAGGAAGCAGCCTGCATGCTCTGACAAGTATTTCAATGCTCTCAATGTCCCACCCTTAGCTTCAAGGCCACAAGAAAGAGGTGATGAGCCTGCAGATCCCGCATTAGAAATCTTCAAACAGGCATCTGCATTATCCAAGGTAAAAACCTCACACTGCAGAACTGCTGAAATTGCATTTTGGTAATAATTATTGGAAGATCATGTCACATTCATATGGCTGGCTACCTAGGAAAGTGAGTGCATGTGTTTCAAGGAATGATCCATCCTCTGGTCTTGCATGATTTAATAATATAAGAAATAATAATACATTTTGCAACACAAAGCTTCAGTTTGCAGCACACTGTGAAAGTAACCTTGGCATGCTACTATTATATATCAGCTTCCAGTAATGAAGAGTCATCCATCCATAGCTTTTGGAGACTAAGGATAACTACATTGACATACAAACTGTTCTTATGGCTGTTGGAGTGTTGCATTTATGCAAACCTGTGCTTTCTTCCCATGCAGGTTTCTCAGAGGAATCCTCGACTAGGTAAAACAACTTCTCTAATTTCCATTATGTCCCCCTATCCCTTAAAGAGGTTTCTCCCTGTTCTCTTGCTCTAAGCAAGATGTAGCATGACTGGGAGGAGAGGGGCAGGGGGTGCTTTGTGTGTGCCCACCCAACTTTGCTCTTCTCCCTGGCAGCCCCCGTGTACTCCCGGATACTGGCGAGGATGAAGGAGAACTCGGGGGGATTCTGAGCCCATCATGAGCAGCCACAAGTCAGTGCCTCCATCCCATCCACTCCAGCTGACAGCTGAAGAGAAGGACAGAACCTTTTCAAAAACCAAATGCCACCCTTAAATTTATTTTTCTTTGCAATGAAACGGATAGAAGAAATGAAAAGCCATATATATGTATATATTTTAAGACCATTTTTATTTGGTTTTGACTTCCCAGACCAATGAAATATTTTGAGGTTTTTTTGTTTGTTTTGTTTAATTTTTGTTTTGTTTCTTTTTTAAATAAAATTATTCTCCAACTTTCAATGTTTTGGGCTTGATAGGTACATCCAAGGGCCTTTTATTTTTTAAACAAGCATGTCCTTCCTTCTTCCCTTGGATTTTAAAAGTCTTCCATGAAATTCTGATCTGCAGGCTTTTGACAAAATTCTCTCCATTGACATTGAGAAAATTGCAGTTATAAGCTATGGTTTGAAGTATTAAATTTTTTTTTTTTTTACTGGGGTCTTTTTTTGTGCCTATGGGTTATAACTGTGCTGCATTTTGTTTATGAGATTTGAAATGAGAGTTCTCCCTGGCTGAAGCCTTCCAGTAAATGATTAATTTTTAATAATGGTTGTTTTTTAATAAAAATTAAAAATAAAATCAAAAATATAAATATGAAAAGTGATGACAGTGCTTGGTTGGGTTTTTGCTTGGTTTGAATTGCCTGAGGGCACCAGGTGATCAAACCTGAGCACTGGGAATGAGGGGAATCAGATTTGGCTGGATCAACATTGATAGGCCTAATAGTTACTTGAGTGGAAGGGAAGAGCATTTCTCCTCTCTGATCCTGGCCTGGCATCATTTTTTGCTGTTGCTCTCATGAGCAGCCACTGTCACTCTCTAAGGAGCACAGGGCAGCCATGCACATCCTTCCAGCCACCTTTGCTGGCAGCTGGAGCTCAGTGCCACATTCTGTGCTGCCAACAGCATTTACTCCCCATCGGGGCTTTAGATTTGCTCCCTGGTAGTTATTACCTTGGTGAAACCCAGGAGTAGGAGGCAAAAAAGAGAAAGAGGGTGTCAAGTACAGAACACAAAAGACTCAGGTTGTTTTGCTTGTTCTGGCACAGAAATACCCTGATAATTCTCCTTCTATTAAAAGCCCAAACTGAAATCCCACATGCTCAGAGTCATCTGCATAACTCAAATGTGTGAAAATTACCCAGCTCCTCTTTTAGCTCTTTTATTTCTCCTCTTCACTACCCCTTGCCCCAGCCCCCCTCATTTTTCTTTGTTATTTTTTTTGCGTGATGCAGTCCTGGTATTTCAGGCTGAGGAGGAACACTTTCAGCCACCTAATCCCAGCAGCCCAAGGCAGAATGGTTGTATCAGGGGATTGGATTTTGGGGGAGGCTCAGCTTCTTCCTGTCAAACTAATTACTGTTCCTTCCAAAGCCTGAGAAAGGGAAAGCCATGTCAAATCTGCCCTGTTTTATATTCTCTTCCTTGATGCTTCATAATTGAGAGATATAAAGTCTTCACAACTTGAAAGGGTGAAAAGTAGGTCTGCTCCTCATCTAGGTGAGTGCCCCTTGTTTATAGCTTCTTGGCATCTGGCTTGGTGACTAATTGTTTCATTGCAAAATGAAGCCACTTGAGTAGCCAGAAGCAGGGAAAACTGCTTAGATGAGCTTCATAACCATGGGCAGTCCCATCTGCTGAGACAACAGTTTTCATCTCCTGGAAGTACAGCCGTGGCTCTTCACTCCATGGCTCCTGGGCAGGTATTAGATGTGATGGGGTGATGGTCTCCTTTGTGCTTTTTGTATGTATTCTACTAGGCTTTGGGGGGTCACCAGGTTCATGAGTCCTGGCTGTTCCAGTAGACAGAGGTGCATTATCCTTTCAAACCAATTCCCTTTTGGCTCTCTCCTGTTGCTTATGCTCCCTGGTCTTTGGCAGTGCTCCCTGCCTCACTCCTGCTGCCTGTCCCATCCTCTGAGCTGCTGGGGGGTGCCAGCAGCAGCCCCCACAGTGCTCTCCCTGTTGTGCTGGCTCTGTCATTTCCCTGGGATCCTACAATCTGGGAAGCCATCACAGGGTACTTTCCCACAGGATTTTGGTGTCTCCAGATTGCAGCTCATGGTGGAAACTCTTGGGAGTTCTTAATGCTCACCCTGCTCCAAATTGATATCTCACCCTCTGTGTTCAGGGAGGGACACACAGGTGGATTTGATCAGTAGGGACTGTATCCACTGCTTCCATTCACTGACACTTTGGGGATATTTTTCCCCATGGATTTTTCACTGTGCCTTATCCAGTGATGTGAGGGTGAGTGCTGCCAATAGTTCCACCAAGGGGAGCGAGATGTTAACACTTCAGCCTTCAAGGGGTGCCCAGGGATGAAGCAAGAGGAGAGCAGCTGAAAGATGGGGAAATGAGGAGTGCTGAAATGATGGGAATAAAAATGTATCTGTCATTTTCTAAATAAATATTTTTAATATTTGTTTAAATATGATAAAAGGTGGAAGTGAAAGGAAGAAGGAAGTTGCTGTTGCTGAGGCAAAACACAACTTCCCTGGGGAAGTGCTGGCCAAGGGGCAGAGAGCTCCCATGGGCACAGCTGGGTGTGGGAGCCTGAGGGATGTCCCAGCCAGGGGCTGTGGTGTGATGGAGGAGCTGGAACCCCCCTGGGCTCCTATCCCCTCCCAGAGCTGCAGCAGTCCTCAGGTAACAACACCCAGGGAAGGGGAGAAGCAAAGCCTGACTCAGAAACTGCTGAGTGAGGGTCGGGGCAGCCTTGGGATGAGCAGCATTTGGGATGAGGAGCATTTGGGATTGGCCTTCAGTGACAAACAGCACTGGGGTGCTCAGCACAGAGCCATACTGCACCAGGGGATTTTTGGTCTCCCAGTGTTGTCAGAGTATTTCCACATGAAACCCAGCGTGTGGTTGAACTTCACCATGACCTTGAACCATGTCTGTGCTCCACAGGAACTCCCTTCAGGACTGGGGCAAAAACAGTAAACTGAGACCAAATAAGAGTCCTTTGGAGGAAAATTTTGCTTTCCCCTCCTTAAGAGTCAAGAGTGTTTTTCAAATGAAAATTTGCAGGGATGTGCAGCTGCCCTTGTTTATTTTTTAGAATAATGATTCCTTCATTTGCAGCAGTTCCAGTTAAGCAAAGTAATTAAATGCATGCAGAAGTCCATTTAGGAAAAATACAGTTTTAAGTGTGTGCTCTATGTCCCACCCATCTGCTGAGACAACAGTTTTCATCTCCTGGAAGTACAGCCGTGGCTCTTCACTCCATGGCTCCTGGGCAGGTATTAGATGTGATGGGGTGATGGTCTCCTTTGTGCTTTTTGTATGTATTCTACTAGGCTTTGGGGGGTCACCAGGTTCATGAGTCCTGGCTGTTTCCAGCAGACAGATGTGCATTATCCTTTCAATCCAATTCCCTTTTGGCTCTCTCCTGTTGCTTATGCTCCCTGGTCCTTTGGCAGTGCTCCCTGCCTCACTCCTGCTGCCTGTCCCATCCTCTGAGCTGCTGGGGGGTGCCAGCAGCAGCCCCCACAGTGCTCTCCCTGTTGTGCTGGCTCTGTCATTTCCCTGGGATCCTACAATCTGGGAAGCCATCACAGGGTACTTTCCCACAGGATTTTGGTGTCTCCAGATTGCAGCTCATGGTGGAAACTCTTGGGAGTTCTTAATGCTCACCCTGCTCCAAATTGATAACACAGGTGGATTTGATCAGTAGGGACTGTATCCACTGCTTCCATTCACTGACACTTTGGGGATATTTTTCCCCATGGATTTTTCACTGTGCCTTATCCAGTGATGTGAGGGTGAGTGCTGCCAATAGTTCCACCAAGGGGAGCGAGATGTTAACACTTCAGCCTTCAAGGGGTGCCCAGGGATGAAGCAAGAGGAGAGCAGCTGAAAGATGGGGAAATGAGGAGTGCTGAAATGATGGGAATAAAAATGTATCTGTCATTTTCTAAATAAATATTTTTAATATTTGTTTAAATATGATAAAAGGTGGAAGTGAAAGGAAGAAGGAAGTTGCTGTTGCTGAGGCAAAACACAACTTCCCTGGGGAAGTGCTGGCCAAGGGGCAGAGAGCTCCCATGGGCCCAGCTGGGTGTGGGAGCCTGAGCGATGTCCCAGCCAGGGGCTGTGGTGTGATGGAGGAGCTGGAACCCCCCTGGGCTCCTATCCCCTCCCAGAGCTGCAGCAGTCCTCAGGTAACAACACCCAGGGAAGGGGAGAAGCAAAGCCTGACTCAGAAACTGCTGAGTGAGGGTCGGGGCAGCCTTGGCATGAGCAGCATTTGGGATGAGGAGCATTTGGGATTGGCCTTCAGTGACAAACAGCACTGGGGTGCTCAGCACAGAGCCATACTGCACCAGGGGATTTTTGGTCTCCCAGTGTTGTCAGAGTATTTCCACATGAAACCCAGCGTGTGGTTGAACTTCACCATGACCTTGAACCATGTCTGTGCTCCACAGGAACTCCCTTCAGGACTGGGGCAAAAACAGTAAACTGAGACCAAATAAGAGTCCTTTGGAGGAAAATTTTGCTTTCCCCTCCTTAAGAGTCAAGAGTGTTTTTCAAATGAAAATTTGCAGGGATGTGCAGCTGCCCTTGTTTATTTTTTAGAATAATGATTCCTTCATTTGCAGCAGTTCCAGTTAAGCAAAGTAATTAAATGCATGCAGAAGTCCATTTAGGAAAAATACAGTTTTAAGTGTGTGCTCTATGTCCCAAAATGATGCCAGCACGGCCAGGCTGCTGCTCATGGGTCACTCCTGTGCCAGAGGAGCCCCAGTGCTCTCCAGGGCTGGAGCAGTGATCAGAAGGTGGTGCCTCTGAAGGGCTGGAAAAGCAAATGTTGACTGCAAAATACTGTGTTTTGAGAAGCTTCATGTTGTGGTTTTGCTCATTTACATCTCGAGATATGAACCAGAGGTGCTTTTCTTCTAGAAAACTGTTTTGCTGTCTGGCAGCCTTCTGCAAAGATGTTTAAGGCAGGAGGAAAAGCAGCGCTGAGCTTTGTTCCAAGGGAGATCTCACATGCAGGGCTGTATGGAAAACACGTGTTCCTCCCGTGTCAGGGGGATCTGGGAGCTCTGTGTGCTTGGCTGATGAAGGAGGTTTGGGGCTGACCTGCCCCGGGAGCTGGTGGGGGAGCCGGGCTGGGAGGGCTGCGGGGTGGGCGAAGGCAGCTCTGTGCCCCAGTGTGGGAGCAGTGGAAAGGCAAAAGCCTCTGCTGGTGTCAAAGGCCAGGCAGAGGCTTGAGTGAAGCCAAGGCAGCTCAGCCAGATGTGCTGACCCCTGGAAGGGTCACCTGGAGGTGGGGGAAGCCACCCATAGGCTGTCACTGGAAAAATGTACTCCTGCTGTAGGGAAATTCTTGCTTCTACAAGTGATTTATTGGAAAGTTAGCTGGTGTCCCAGGAGGAGCAAAGAGAAAAAACAATGGTGAAAGACAAGCTCAAAGGAGCAGTTGGAATCAGAGGCATTCAGCTGTGGCTCAGGCAACTCTTGCATTATTTTGTTTTTCTTTGGAGTCCGTTTTGGAGACACATTTGAGAGATTTTTTTAGAAACCTGTAAATTCGCCAAAGAAAAATATTTAGTGGGACCTTCTTTCGAACAGTGAAGGATCCCTTACTGTTTTGTA